AAGGCAAGTGTCAGTTCTAGTTGCTTTGGTTTTTTTTTCTTGTGTTATTTTTTCGTTCTACTAACGTTTTCTCTCTTGTAGGTTCGTATTCCGCTTGGCTTGGGTACAGAAAATGGCACCGGGAATGTGATTCAGAATGGTGATTCGGAACATGAACTACCACTATTTTCTTTCTTGTAGGTTCGTATTTTGCTGGGCTTGGGTACAGAAAATGGCACCAGGAATGTGATTCAGAATGGTGACATAAAAAGGCAAGTGTCAGCTGCATTGGCATTTTTTCTTGTGTTATTTTTTCATTCTACTACTATTTTCTCTCTTGTAGGTTCGTATTCCGCTTAGTTTGGGAACAGAAAATGGCGCCGGAAATGGTGAACTAGATAAGTACCAGTTCTGGTTGCTTTGTCTTTTGTTTTTCTTGTTATTTTTTCATTCTACTAACGTTTTCTCTTTTGTAGGTTCGTATTCCGCTTGGCTTGGGTACAGAAAATGGCACCAGGAATGTGATTCGGAATGGTGATTCGGAACGTGAACTGACATAAAAAGATAAGTGTCAGTTTTAGTCGCTTTGTCTTTTTTTTCTTTTCGTTCTACTAATGTTTTCTCTTTTGTAGGTTCGTATTCCGCTTGGCTTGGAACAGAAAATGGCGCCAGAAATGGCGATTCAGAACGTGAACTAGATAAGTACCAGTTCTGGTTGCTTTGTCTTTTGTTTTTCTTGTATTATTTTTTTATTCTACTACCGTTTTCTCTCTTGTAGGTTCGTATTTTGCTGAGCTTGGGTACAGAAAATGGTGCCGGGAATGGTGATTCGGAACCGTTGGGTAATTGGTATTAGACACGAATTACGAACTAATATTAGGCATGACTTTGTCTTTTTAAAGCACACAAATAGTATAGAGCTGTGTATGTAATAAATATATAATAAATATGTAATAAATTTAATAAAAAAATTTTATATATAATATTTTATGTTTTGCGAATTGCAATATTATATGTACTGTATAATTTCGAATTTAGTGAATTAGTGCAAAACGTTTCGAATATTCGAAATATATTGCGAAATATTTCGAAATTTAATGCAAACATTTCGTAATCTTATGTAATATATTTCAAAATATTTCGAAACATATTTCAAAATATTTCGAAATTTATTACGTAATATTTCGAAATTAAAAATTTTGAAATATTCTGCATCGATCGTAATTCTTACAGAATATTTCGCGGCGTAATAACTTACGTAAGATTACGCTTATATATTTTGCTGATATAATTTATTAAGTAAATTATCACTTTAAAATCACATTTGAATTCTATGTATAATTAAATCATATGAGTACGATTTTATTGGCTATGAATATATAACTATGATTGGTTAATATAATGGTTGGTTGTGAGAGCGATGCACAATGAATATGCAGTGTAGCTCCAATCGCTACTTAGAAGTTAGGTAGATTAGAGTTAATACTTCAATTCAGATATATTTATATCCAGATTGATATTTTGGCAAAAATTATAATAAAATATAGTAATTTAAATCCAGATATAAAACATAGTAAAGTGTTAACTCTAGGGTGAATTGAATAACAAAAGGTTTCCATAGAGCATGGTAATTCTATTAGGGTGACTTAATGATGGTATGAAATTAAGGAGTGAATATTATTATGTTCATGTTACTTTAGTATAAGAATGAGGTTCTTCCATTTATTAGAATAAATACTTCACTTTTATACATTTAGATTAATATGAAAGAGAACACATTCTGAAACCTACTTTATGACATCAGAGGCACCATGCTCTCATATTAGCCTTATGTCAATATGCACGAAGGCTTTAACAATCACGATACTAATTTAGTTAGATAATCAATTACACCAAAAAGGGTAAGATTATAAAATTAATTCGTTACATTAAACAAATAGACAAATTCTTATAAATTAGCAAAAAAAAATTTTTGTGTGCTTAGAATTTCTTTCAATAACGCAGGTTTATACAATTAGTTTCTGCGTTCAATTTTATTTGGGCTCTAATAAAGTTTTACTGTGTTCAATTTCTGTAAGCTAGTTTTTATTCGTAATTACAATTAAGTTTTACTGTGCTTAAATTCTTTTAATCAGGGTTTTTCATGTTTCAAGTTTTGCTCTGTGTTCAAATTTTGGTGCAGTCAAATTTTCGCAGAGGTAAATATCTCCATAGCCAAGTTCTTGTTGCAGTTAAATTTTCGCAGCGGATAAATATCTCTGTGGCCAAGGTCTTGTTGCAGTCAAGGTCAAGATTTCGCCTAAGGTCAGTTTCGCCATAGTCAAGGTTTCACCCAAGGTCAGTTTTGCCATGATCAAGGTTGCACTGTAATCAAGGTTAGTTTCTCCATAGTCAAGGTCAAGGTTTCGCCGTAGTTAAGGTTAAAGCTTCGTCATGGTCAAGGTTAAAGTTTTGCCATAGTTAGGATTAAAGTTTCGCCATGTTCAGGGTCAAGGTTTCGCTGTGATCAGAGTCAAGGTTTTGCCATGATTAAGTTCAAAGTTTCGCCGTGATCAAGTTCAAGGTTTCGCCATAGTCAGAGTCAAGACTTCGCAGTGGTCAAGGGTTCGTCTTGGTTAAGGAATAATGTCAAACAAAAGAGCAAAAATAGCAATTAGTAATAGCTTAAAGCATGAAATTTGCAAATATAGCAATAAGTTTCCACATGAAATACATTCAAATATTGCAAATTATTTTAATCAAAAAAATTCAAATTTAAACATTGATCGCTTAACAATTTTAAAAATTTTAAAGAAAAAAAAAAAATGGTTGGCGATTGACAATAACCAAGCTAATACAATGATTTTTTGTTACAAAAAAGTTAAGTTCCTATTATTAGATAAAGTCATGCAACTTTGGGTTAAGCAGGTCATAGGTGGTCAAGTATTTTTGACAGATTTAATCATTAAAGAAAAGGCTGCATTTTTTGCCCGGACATTAGGTTTGCCAGATAGCACGTTAAAATTTTCTAATGGTTGGGTCTATAAATTCAAAAAAAGGAATAATCTACGAAACTACCGGTTACATGAAGAAGCCAATAGTGCACTGATGGAAATACTTCTAGAACAAAGAATAAAATTTCATGAAATAATAAAAGAATATTCATTAGAAAATGTTTTTAATACAGATAAGACAGGGTTATTCTTTTGGATGGCACCACATCAGACTCTCTCATCACAACCACAATCAGGATGGAAAAAGGTCTTTATTGTGTACAAGATTTTTTTTTTGAATTACCTTAATATGGCACTTTATTAAGTGTATACTGCGTGTACAAGTTTAAACCAGAGATAATAAAATAAAAAATCATTTGTATACTGTTTTTAACAAAAACTAAAGATTTTAATTTGTTTTAATTATTGAATTAACTTTCTTAGAATTGTGCACGTATTACTATAATGTTGACAGCAAACGCGACTGAAACTGAAAAATTAAAGCCAATAGTTATTGGATCATTTATTGAACCCTATGCTCTAGCCTGTTTGAACTATGATACTTTACCTGTTACATACCAGTCAAATTTAAAAGCCTGGATGCGATCAGATATCTTTGGTGAATGGCTTACAGAACTTGATAGGAAGTTTCACTTGGAAAACTGGCATATTTTGCTGTTAATTGATGGTGCATCAAGCCATTATAATCCTAATGAACTTTATAAAAATAACGATCCTGATGAAGATAATGATTCTAATAATTCTAATGAAGAAGATATGTCAAAATCAGACGAAGAATCAAACAGTGAAAAAGAGGAATTAGAAAGTGTGAATTCAGATAATAAAGAGAGTCATGCAAGCTTGTCTAGGAATTTTATTCGATGTGGCCATGGCTGCCTAAGGTTAAATGCTAGTAATATTAATAAACAAAGTGGATGAAATTCTCATGGCCGTAGCCGTGGTCGTGGTCGTGGTCATGAGCAGACTTGTGGTAGCAAGGGTCGTCGAGGCTGTGCTCGTCCTTATAGACTTTCAGCACCTTCTGAAACTTCTTTAACAAATATTAGGCTTGAATTTTTGCCACCTCACACTACCGCTCACTTGCAACCGATGGATGCAGGTATAATCAATAGCTTTAAAGCAAAGTACAAAAGAAAATATATACAATACATAATTGATTAATTTGAAAGAGGAGAGGATTTAAAAACATAAGAACATATTCATGAGCCTAGCGTTGTTAGCTTAAAAAGTTTTGCTAAGAAATTTTACTGTTAAATTAAGGTCAAGTTCACTATTAGGTTAGGTTAGGTTATTAATAACATTTTCAAGACAAATAAAATTTTTTCTTTAATGCAGGAGGCAGTTTCATAACACTGCAGCAGATATGTATATACGTACGTGCATTAAAATTTGTGGTCTTAGATTGTTTTGATTTTTGCATTACACAAGATCTTTAAAATTTGATTGATCAGTGAAATTTTCTAGGTGGTAATGCTAGTACTAGTGTATTATTTAACATTCTGATTGTGCTTTTTCTCTAATTTTGGTTTGGTTTTAACACTGCTATATAGCACTGTATATAATATCCCCAAAATAGTATAATTCAATCGTTAGATAAGTGTAGTAAGACTATATGCAGTGCTAAACGATAATCATATTGTTTATTAGTTTTTTGCTATTTTTCGTATTACAATTTTTTTTCTATAGAATGGTTTTAAAGAATTTTGTTAATTTAAATTTTCTTAAATCATATAGACAAAAATTGAACATTAGAGAAGTGATAACTTACGCTGCAGAACATGGGAAGAGGTTGAAACTTCAACAATTGTGAATTGTTGGGTAAAAACTGGAATCCTTCCGGCATTATCTGGTAACGAAATTGAAAGTGCCACTCTTGCCCTGCAAGACTTGGCGTATTTTGAAAAAGATGAAAATGATGAATTGATCGTAGACTTAACAACAAATTTATTAGACCCAACAATCGAGCGTGAAATAAATAACTTCAATAATCTAAACAATTCTCAAATACTTACAGAGGATGTTCTTGATGAAATGCAAATTGTGCATATTGTATTAGATGAACAGGAGAATATGAAGAAGGTGACGCAAGTGACACAGATAATGAACCACCCGAAGTTCCTGTCGTGAAAGGACTAAATGGTTTAAAAAAATTTGTTGGCTTTTTTGAGCAACAAAAAAGCGATGATTTTAATATAGAAGATTTAAAGGTTTTTAAGAAATATGTATTATTGATGGGAAGAAAATACTCAGAATCAATGAAGCAAAAATCAATTTCTGACTTTTTCTTACCTGTTTAGAATTAATAGCAGAGTAATTTTTTTAGTGCAAATAGTTTTTTTTTTTTTTTTTTTGTTTTTTTATTTTTTTTTTTTTAAGATTTTTTATTTTTTTTTTGTTTGTTTTCTTCAAGCTAAAAAGGTTTTGGTTGTTTTACGGATTAGCTTATACTCAATTTAGTGTTATGACAATTTGGTGTCAAATTGTTCATTATAGTCAAGAAACTGTGGATAATGCGATATCAATTGAGGTCAGAGATAAATTACACAGAAGGTAAGATATCAGCTCTTTGATTTTACTATTTAGCGTTGCTTTATAGTACTGAGGATCTTATTCAAACTTTTATTTTTTAAATTGATTAATACTCAGGCATACAGATGCAGAATTCATGAATATAAATTTAATTTTGAAATTTTTCTTTTTTTTTTTTTTTGCAAAGCTCTTTTTGAATTTTTTTTTTTTTTTTTACTTTGAGCTAAAAAGTAAAATTTTGGGGTATTTTTTATAGCATTAGCTTACTCAGTGTATTGTTGTTAATATTATTGCAATTCTGATACTAAATTGTTTATTATAATCAGGAAATTGTGGATAATTGGGCCCTGAACTATTTCATTTAAAAGGTAAGTTTTTGACTTTTGGTTTTATCATTTAGCACTGCTTTATAGTATTTCTGGGTCTTATTCAAATCTTTTATTTTTTTAAATTAGTGCCCAGGTATATGGATGTGGTATTCCAAATGAACTTAATTCTACAAATTCGAATAGATTATAATATCATATGAAGGCAGCACATCCCAATGTTAGTAATTCAATTAATGTGATAATGAGATAGAATTCTCTGGATTAGTGTTAAATCATATAGGCATCAATTAATGGGTTTAAGAATAGATATAGAATTCTTTATAAAACTTTCAATAGATTGCAATATTATCAAAAACACTTCATGCAACCAATTCCGTGATTTGATCCAGGGATCCTTTATGTAAAACCAGGACGATATTTATTTAGTTATACCCGGGTATTATTCAAAACTTAGGCTAATATATAGGTACAGTAAATAATACCCAGGTTTTAATTATAGGAGATATTATTATTATTTTTTAGTTAAAATTTACTGTGCATACAATGCACAATTTGTGCAGCAAATAAATAAAAAACTATTTACAAGTATACACACTTCCTGCAAAATAATTTTTTTTGTGCGGCATTCACACATCTGTTCAAAAGAAAATGTGTGCAAAATTTTGTTTCTGTGTGCCGTACACAGAGATTATTTTAGAGTAATGTTAAATAATTTTTTGAAATTTAATATGCTGATTAATAACTTCTGGGCAAATTATTTAACCTATGGTCTTGCATATTAGTTATTTACAATATTTATTATAACTTATTAATATAAAATTTTGTACCAATATTTTTGTTTTTTAATAATACTGTAGATTATTTTGAAATAATTTTTATTAAATTACTTCTTTAAGATTACATTATGTTAGTTATATTATATTATAGGATTATATAGAGGAAGTTCTATTCGATCACCCCTCTATATAATCACCAAAATATGTTAGATAAATTGGGTGATTGTAGGGGGGATGACTGTATAAATGCTAGATTATGTTCTAATTT